TCAAATCGAACCCCTTCCCTAATCCCTACTTCCCTTTTGGTTTTGTCGAGTTTTGAGCAATCCTTCCCCCATTCCAATTGCCCGCTACACAGAGGAGGCGCCAACGGCGCCGCTGCCGGGCATGGGACCTGACTCGGAGGAGTGTTGCTCGCTGTCGGCGAGGAAGCAACCATCGTTCTTTTTACCCCCATAATTTCCCTTTGTGATTGCGATGTTCATTTCAATTTTTCCTTTCCTCCCTCGGCATGGGTACAGGTGGAGAGAGGACGGTTTGGTTCATGTCGCAACGAATCAATGGGGAGGAACTGGTGGGAGAGTGGCGACGGAGGTAGGCGGAAACTAATTGGGGGGATTTGTTGAGGGCAATGAAGGGTTTGGAGACGACGACTTGGGGGTACTTCGTTTCATCTGCATCGATAGCCATTCCATTTTCAAGCTCCCTCGACCCACCTGCCGCTGTTGGGACCCAAATTTATTGCCCGCCTCCCTCCCTCTTTATCCCATTATACTAGCGACAATAGCAGCTTCGTTGAGAATGGTGAATAGCTAAGAGAGAAGTAAACGGGAACGCAGCAGAAGTTGATTCCAAAGAAGACACCAACCGCAATTTTTGAGTTGCTCCACCGTCCGAGGATGTGGCAAACGTGAGAATCTATAACTTTTTCCATACGCCTCGAGACTGCAATTTATGGGCGATTGGGTCAGACCCGGAAGACACAAATGGAGGAGAAAGGGGATAGGGTTGGCGTGGAAGAGTATGGCGATGACTGGTGGTAGCGACTAGGACCGACAAAGACAATGAGGACGAGGAAGACTAGCGGGCTTGGGATACGGTCAGTAACCATTGGTTAATGGTTACTGACTATGAGTAACTAAATCTCCACCTTTAGATCTAAGTGGGCCCAAAAAATCTAGATCTAAGGATTGTGACTTAAAGGTATTTTATTTTCCCTAGTTTTCTTAATCGGCTCTTATCTTATTCGTTCTAACTCGGCTTTCAATTTTTTTTGCACAGATGGAACAAGTTTGTTGTGCTCTAAAAAATGAGATCAATTTTCAATATATTTTGAGAAATTTTTTTTCATACCTCCCGTTACCAGCTACATACCATATGGTAACTTCTTCGTTTTAATTCGTTTTTGAAAATATTTGCTCAGAAGGAACGAGTTCATCATGATCTATTGGATCTACAAATTTCTGAGTGAAAAAAATACAGGATAAAAAATTACCATACTTTACCACTCTGGTATGGGGGTGGTAACTTGTGGTAAACAATGATGAAAGTCGTAAATGACAGTTAGTATACTCCTACTATCATGTATTCAACCTTCCTACAGTCTTGGTATGTTCATACCATCATAGTACGCTTTCTTACCATATGGTATTAAATAGGAGCATACCATATGGTATTGATTGGTAAAAAATGACTCAAAAATTTTTTGTTCTAAAAATATATAAAAGTGGATATCATTTTAAAGAGCATAATTAATCTGATTTATCTGTGCAAAAAAAATTTAAATTCCGACTTAAACGAGAGAGAAATCGTCCGTAAAAGATGAAAGGGGAAAAGATAAAAGGTTTTCCATGAGAGAGAGAGAGAGATGTTGATGTCATGCTGATGTGGACGTGTTACTCATGGTTACTCACCTGATCCGCTCCCCGACTAGCGACAGTGACAAGGATTGACTAGGATGACAAGTACGGCGTTGGCTAGCAATTTCAGGCAAACAGACCTTCACGTTGGTTTCGCCACCAAATTTCATCTTCTTCTGGCACAAGACGTTTAGGGCGCGGCGGTGCTGGCCAATAAGGCTTTAAGGCGAGCATCTCTTGGAGCGGCGGCAACGGTGGGTGAACAGGAAGGAAGAACACACGCAGCAGAATAATAGGAATTAGGAATAATTTTTTGGGTATGCTGAGAAGAGGTGGAATTGTTAAGTAATTAATTTTCTTTTATTTATTATTTTTAAAGCCCATGTCACTTATTTAACGGTCATCTACTAGAGTTGACTGCCACGTAGGACAAAGTTAACATACTTGGACGGAGAGTGAAACGAAAATGTAAAGTTAGTGACCACGACGGGAATTAAATATTTCTAGTGACCAAACGTGAATGTTTTTAGTAATCCCAGTGACCAACCTTGCAATTAACTCATAAGAATGGTATTTGAGATTTTCAAATCATTGAAATCAAGGACTTCACAAATCGCTGAAAAAATGATGGATTTGTAAATGGTGGCTCATCACTCCTTACGATTTGGAAATCCAACAGAAACGTTTTTAGTAATCCCGGTGACCAACCTTGCAATTAACTCATAAGAATGGTATTTGAGATTTTCAAATCATTGAAATCAATGATGGATTTGTAAATGGCAGCTCATTGCTCCTTAAGACTTGGAAATCCATCAGAAACGTTTTTAGTAATCCCAGTGACCAACCTTGCAATTAACTAATAAGAATGGTATTTGAGATTTTCAAATCATTGAAATCAAGGACTTCACAAATCGCGGAAAAGATGATGGATTTGTAAATGACAGCTCATCACTCCTTAAGGCTTGGAAATCCATCAGACCATTTCTCTATATTTTGAAGGAAGGATATGTAAAGTAATTTCTTTTGATACTTCCCATGTAGTTAGTAATTACAGGAACCATTACACAATCCATATATCCACCAAATAAATGGGATTCAAGGTCCACCATTCCTGAATCTAGTCCCCAAACCCATCTGCTACTCAAAATCCATGAATTAGGAAATTAGTCAGCCAAACACACTTTGAGCGCATCCACTTTCGGCCACTAATATACCAGTACTAGGAATGTCATGCTTCAAGCTCCCCAAGGAAAACTGTAGACGCTTAAACAGTCATATCGCAAAGTTTTGGTGGGGTACGGCACAAAATTCAGACCACCTAATCCATTGGCTGTCTTGGAAACGCCTAGCTCACACAAATTCCATGGAGGACTTGGATTCAGGGACTTTGAAGCCTTCAATCAAGCGTTGCTAGCTAAACAATGTTGGAGAATATGGACCAATCCAAATTCACTCCTCGCCCAGATTTATAAGGGTCGATACTTTACTCAATGCTCGGTGTTGGAAGCATCAATCGGCTCAAACCCTTCGTGGGGGTGGAGAAGTCTACTCTTTGGAAGAGATCTGCTCTACTAGGACTAAGATGGCAAATAGGCAATGGGCAAAAAACCCGGGCGTTCATTGATAATTGGATTCTGGGGGATAAACCCTTAATCCCGAGTACTCGACCCCATATTCAAAATGGATCTCCTATGGTATCTTATTTCATAAAAGAAGGTCGAGGGGAATGGGACGTTCCAAAACTCCAGAATTGCTTTGAACCTCAGACTGTTGATCTCATAAGGAGAATTCCTCTTTCTCGTTACTCACAGCAAGACATTAGAGTGTGCCACTATTCCAAAGATGGAAAATACACAGTCAAATCGGGTTATCACTTAGCTCTTGAAATAATATTGGCTCCAAGTCGAAAACCGATAGCGCAAATCATCGACCCCCCTATTTGGAAAAAGACTTGGAACATCGAAGTTCCGCCTAAAATCAAATTCTTCATATGGCAGTGCCTCAAAGTCATACTTCCCACAGTAGTGGCCCTTCAATCTCGAGGAGTAGTCTGCCATAATAGGTGTCCCGTCTGCTGGAGACATCGGGAAAGTATTGAACATTTATTCATCAGATGCCCCCTAGCCATCAGATTGTGGACTTTAGTGAGGTTAAGCAACTTTATTGAGACCGCCCGGACTGTTAACTTTAGTCTATGGTGGCGACATGTCATGGTCTCCGAGACCGCCCCATTCCACATTCTCCAATGCGTCTGTTTACTTTGGAGAATCTGGAAGTCTAGAAATGAAGTGACCTTTGAATTTACCCAACCCCTTGTCCGTTCCCTAGCCAGACAGTTCTACAACCAGGTCCTCGAAATCTCCAGTCTTCTTCCCCCCCCCCCCCCTCCACTCCGCAGCTCTCTTCTCCCAAACATTCCGGCCACCTCTTGGGTCCCTCCACCAGAAGGCTTCTTGAAGATCAACGTCGATGCAACTGTCAGTGCCTCCAGGTGTTCGTCTGGGCTTGTAGTCCGTGGGTCAGACAGGCATGTGATGTTGGCGTTCGGGTTGCAGCATCAAGGAATAGTCAACCCTTATCTGGCTGAACTTCTCGCTTTCAGGGATGCTATTTCCTTTGTAGCCTCAAGATCCTTGACCCACGTGATAGTCGAAGGTGATTCCGAAGTGGTTGTCAACCAAGTCCGTCAAGGCGTTTCAGAAGACTCGATTGGTGGTCCGGTGTTACAAGAGAGTGTCTTCAGATCCTTAGCTCTTTGTCTATTTGTATAGAGTTTAGGGTAGTACCTAGAACCGCCAACCGTACTGCCCATAGAGTGGCGTGTAAAACACTGCTTTTGTCTCTTGTAGAGTTAGAATCTTTTGATTTCTTGGGGGTGGCTTCTTTAGAATCTTTTAGGGCTCCTAGGTAAAATTGAAAGCTTAACTATTATTTCTCATTGATATTAATAAGAAATAAAAAAAAAAGTAAAAACGGAAACCTAATATGCATTGGTTGGAGAGTCCCAGTTTGTAGTGGAAATATGAAAATAAAGCAGTATGTTGCTACTAATTGTTAGAACTTCAAAATTTGACGGCAAATCACAGAGTACATAGAGCCTTACGAAAAACCAACACAGAATTCTGGACAAAGAAACATAGTAGAGTACAACATTGATTACTGAATACCATAATCATACAAAAAATACCAAGGCGAATACAGGCTGTACTGCTCAAACGTTCAGATGTCCACTCCTGGATAGAATACATTCACACTTCCATTGAGACCTAAGCTGCAGCAGTTAAAGAAAGCTTCTACATTGAGGTAATGCAGCTGGACTAGCCTAAACAAAAGGGAAGGGTTTCTCAAAAGAAGATTTTAGAGAAGATTACCTAGCTAGATGCATTTTTCGAAAAGAAAGTCCAATATCACACATCATTCTTGATCTCCAACCCCTTGAGCCTTGACTCCAGTTCATCATCCTCGTCGCCATCATCGCCATCCTCATGAAAATCTTCACCTTCAGGATCATTCTCATCCAAGGGGCCAAGAACCGTTGGCAAACTCTTGAATATCTTCTTCACTTCATCAATCCCTTCATCGGATATGAAATTACCATTCAAATTGAGCAACTTAAATCCAGGCTTATTCACCACAGCCTGTGCCAATAATCTTGCTCCAGCTCTTCTAATTGCATTTGTGCTTAAATCGACCTCGTTCAACTGGCCATGCCCTGTTTCTATAGCCTTAGCAATCAAGATAGCACCTTCATCCTTCAGCTCATTCTCGGCTAGGTTTAACTTGGTGAGAAACTGCTTAGCCAAGATACATCCTGCCAAGGAAGAAGCACCTTTTGCAGTAATGTCGTTGCCAGCCATATCCAGAACTTCAAGAGAAGGTGCAGAGTCTTTCAGTGCATTGGCAATCGCTTCTGTGCCCTCATCCTCTAAGTTAAGATAATTCAGGTAAACCTCAGTAAGCCCGGTGAGAGCCAATAGAGCTTTGCTAAGAGCAACTCCAGCTTCTACACCAAACATGTTGTCACGAAGATCAAGCTTCTTCATACAAGTACATGTCGCAAGAGCTTCAGCTAGAGCAACACCACCTTCTGCATCCACCCTTGTTGAAGAGCATTTAAAATCTTCCAATAGAAGAGAACGTTTCACAATCTTGGCAATAGCTAGAGCACCTAAATCTCCAGTCATGTTGTTGTGAAACTGAAGCACCTTCAGCTTCTCAGTGGAAGGAAGTAACTCAGAAACTGCTACCGCCGCTTCTTCGGAGATGCCATCATTTATCAAATAAAGCTCCTCCAGATTGTGCTGCGACTTAATGAGCGCCGCAAATGCCCTGATACCCTTTTCCCCCAGAGCATTGCTTGAAAGATCCAGATACCTCAAATTACACCCTTCAAGTGCCGATGAAAAAATATTCATCACTTGAAGTGCTTCAGCCTCTGGCCTTCCTGCAACAAAATCTGATAAGTCCACTTCTGTTAATTGGTGCTTCATGGATGACAATATGGGTTTTGCCACAAGGGCTGCTTCCAAGCCAAAACTTCTGTTGCTGAAACATATTCTATTAAATGAATTTCCTGGTTCACTAAGCGGTCTGAGAAGATCCTCGGCCTCCTTGGCTTCAATAAATGCCCTTTCACCACCGGAGATATCGAAAACACTTCCTTGGGGAACTCTACCATTTTCAGTAGATATATCTGCTCCTTCCTCCGTCACTCTAGGACCACGTTTAAGAACCTCCAGCATAAGCTTGCTAGATTCCTTCGCATACAGTAGCACTGCAGAACTTCCATCACCGTCGGCTTCTTTCTGATGGTGCTGGCTTGCAACATCAAATGCCAGTTGTTCTATTTGCTTGGCATCCACCTCAGCTTCTTCTTTGCTCAACAGGCCATACTTTCTCGAAATCGTGGATGGTGTAGTAAGATTCTTCGCCATTCGCTCAATGAGTGTTAACCTCGTACTCTGACTTGGAGGCCACAGCTTCAAGGATATTTGGTGAGCTTGCGATGCAAAAGCCATCTCGAAGTAACCTGGACATAAACACCAACCCACATCATTAATAGAGTATGCAACAAGCAATAAACTGCAACGCACAGAATTATAATTAAAAATTATCCTAGGCAGGAATTGACTTAATTATAAAAGTGCAGAAGTTCTGAACAATTTATTTTCACGATACACCAGTTTTCCTACTAATACAGCAAGCTTTTCAACCCAAGGACATTCAAATAAGAGCAAAAAAAGAAGGGGGACTATAGATGGAAGAAAATGCTGAATACAGAAACGGCTAAAGTTTCTTCTCATTATGTTACAGACTAACAAAGAAATAGAAGCAAGACAGAAAAAAGCAACCATCACATCTTAATCAACAAGAACCCAAAACATAACACAAATCTTCTAACGATGGGTACACACATTTCAAACAGATAGCGGATAAATAATTACTGACAACAACTACTGCTAGTTTCGTACTGACGATAAAAGAAACAAAATGCAAGAGAATCAATTAAATGTTTGAACAGATCAGCAGACTAGCACAACAAAGCAAGAAAGCAACCATTTTTCATAGAAGGGGAGATGAGAGAGCCACTCTGACTAAATGAGTAATCCGAAAAGAACCCTGGCTAAACAAAGTATGGGTTCCTCTAAATGTATCATTTACTTAACTCTGAATCACACGAATCAACTTAGAACGTTCATAATCTCATTACAGGAAGGACTACGCGAAACATGACCTAATAGATTCTCCAGTTACGAACCTAATTGAATATCGGTTTAATTAAAACAAATGGTACTAACTACTAAGAACAAACGAACATTTAGACAAGGAAACAAGGAAACAACACAGCTCAACTTAATTTCTTCATATGGTTTCGGACAAAGCAATTTCGGAAAAGGAAAACAACAATGAATTCCGCCTAATTACTCTTGCCGATCTAGAAATTCACAATGAAAAAACTAGGAATAAAACAGATGAAACGAGAGCAATTTATGGAAGATGCAGTTGGTTTCTGCAAGTACCTTACTTCCATGCAGGAACATTACAAGGGAGGGGGCTAGTGAATACCTGAGCTGAAAGGAGGCACAGAAAGGGAACACCACCGGCAGTAAGTACAAAACCCTAGATTTCTCGGAGAAACATCGGGCAGTATTTTTTCAACTTCTCCGCTTGCGATTGCGAGCAACTTAAGATTGTGGAATTGGAGGGGTAGTTAAGGATTTTGCGTTTGAGACAGGGAAATTGCTGTGGGTTTATTGGTAAGGAGAAGAGGAATGTGATTGGTGAAGGAGATGGTGGGCGGAGGACAGTGGAGCGAAATTGGTTGCTTCGCTTCAAATTCTGGACAGTAGAGCTAGAGGAGAATCGGCGCGTTTTTTTTTTTTCTTCTTTTTCTTACAGGGGGAATCGGCGCATTGATAGGTAGAAATCCCAAAATACACCTATTTAAAATAAAATTACCAAAATACACACATTTTATAATAATTTTCGAAAATACACATGTTTGGCATCACTGCGGTCGACCACAGTGAATCGGGATGCACATATTTTAAAAAAGAATTACGAAAATACACACGAAATTTCCCAAAATATACATGTTTGGGCACCACTGCGGTCGTCAACCGCAGTGAATGCATTCACCACGGCAGACGAAAGCGGTGAATGCATCACCTCGGTTGATGGTCGTGGTGAATGCCTAACCTAACACTGAAACTTCAACTGATTGTAACTTTGTGCTCGGTTATCCGATTGTAGAGATTTTTTTTATTCCACATAGCTTTGCGAGATCTTTCAATCCGCAACGAGCCTTCATCGCCAAAAAAATGTCGTTTGCTACCCCGAACGGGTAATTTTTCGATTTTGGCAAACTTTTGAAGAATATAACTTTGTGCTCCGCAATCCAAATGTCATGATTTTTTTTTTTTTTTTGAATTCTCATAATTTTTGAATAACTACATTTTCTAGGTGGATGAGAATGTCCATGCCGAATAGTTCTTGAGGTGGATGCCTAAACAGAAGTCCATTTTGTGTGACCTTAGTAGTTCCTTTGGAGGGTGCCTTCGTCTACCTATGGACCATATCATAAGCTAGGAGACTCTTCACATACGACATGTTCTTTCCAATGAAATCAGTAGTCATATCACACCGAGAGGCTCGTGTATCCTACCATGCCACAACAGAAACATAAAAGGGTCAATTTTCAAATAGCACAAGAGCTTTGAAGGAACCTTTACTACGGTCGTCGTGAGAGGCATTTACAAATATTGGGAGAGGCAGAGTGACATTCATCACCACTCAAGCATGAAGGTAAACACCCTCTGTCTTTTTGCCAACGTGTCCTCTTTTCGCCCAGAGCAACACTCAAGCATCTAGCCATCATAATTGTATGACCCTCTGTTAGAACCTTTTGTAACTGAATCCAAAATGGAACTCGGCATAGAGAAGCAGCATTTTCAGCAGAAGGCGAGCATCAAAAAAGCATCTCAATCAAGAATCTATGCAAGATCCAAGGAGACACACAATGAACACGCTTACGATCGTCGGAGTTAGAGAAGATTAATTGGGTAAGTCGTAGGGAAGTGCCGAAGGCTGACCAACTAAGGCGTTATACCATGGATCCTCCGCAGTAGACTAAGCCCAACCATACCTTAACCAACAAAAATTATCTCATCATTGTAGAATGTAGATTACTATAATTTCAACCGACATTGAAAATCTGAGTGGTGAATTAAATTGTACAGGGAAGGAGAAAATGAGCAGGCGAGGAGCGATCAGTACCTTACCACATTCAATCGAGGCCTTATAAAGTCGTCGATCATCCCATTAAGAAGCCCATATGTCTGGAATGCGGAGGCACGTCGTCGTAGATTGCGAGACCAAGGCCGCATAATAGCTATAGGGTATTGGGGAGGGAAAGTTGGTTTTTATTTTTATTTTTAGATAGATCCTTCGTTATGCATTCACTTCTCTTTTTCCACTTCACTCCTAAGAAATAGAAGCAACAACTCCTCTCTTCCTCTCTATTTTTCCAATCTCTTGAGCTTCCTTCTTCCTCCCTCCATGTTACATACATCTTTTCCTCCGATTTTGCCACCAAGTACCAACCCCTTTATAAGGTAAGAAATAGTTTTTTGGGACTCTCCACAAACTTGGCTTGGAAAAAGCCAATATCCTAAATCTACTACACATTCATCCGCCAATGCATAAAAAAATGGGAGGGTAAATTACATGTTTGATCACTTATATTATCATATTTTTCACGTTAATCACCCAATTTTTTTTTTTGTTTCTTATTTGTCACCAACTTTACGCTTTATTTCATCGATGATCACTTGTCGTCCAGTTTTGTTAAGTTCATCCTACGTGGTAGTCAAATATGATATTTGACCGTTAAGTTGCTGATGTGTTGATTAAAAAATATAATATAAAAATTTATTAATAATAATATAAAAATCCACTAAAAATCTCCATCAACTCCTCACTATGGACAATCCAACCTCAACTTGGCCGCTCCTGCCGCCGCTCTTACAAAAGGCACCATCATCGACTCTAGACTGCCCTCGCCCCCCTCTTACAAAGCCACCGTCGTTGACTCAAAATCCACCGTTCAAACTTCTGTACTGTCCCAATTTTAGAGATGAGTTTGGAAACATGTCTTTTTTTCTCGACTTTAATCAGTATTACTTCCAACATTACTCGAGTTTCCACAAGTATGTAGGAAAGGTTTTGTCATGTTATTATCCCCTCAATCTCCGCAAGGTCAACTTTCTAGACCGTGAGCTTAGGTCGGAGGGAGAGAAGATTCTCTAGTTATCAGGGTCATCAGATATGCTTTGTACCATGATGCTCAACGTTTGTTGTTTATGAGTGTAACTTACATGACGACCCTTAACCTTACAAATTCTTCGATATGTTTGGCTTGATCTTGATTTGCAATCATAAAGCCCCAGAATTAGAATGTTTTGACCTAGATAGAGGGTTTGGACCCCTAACATTCTGCTCAACGCTCTCTACCACCTCAGCTTCATTGCCAATTATCGGCAATGACTCCTGATCCAGTGAAGAAAAGCTGCGGAGAAACATAGATTCCCATTGTGGCATAAGGGATACGGAGGAAATTGGTGGAGCTAGAAAGCGGTGAAAGTGGGCGGAAAGGTGGATGCTCAGGGTGGAAGGAGCTGGCGAAGGAAGGGTTGTTGATTGCGATTATTGGGTCTCTGATATTGAGGGGTATGAGATGGATTTCAAGTGGGGAAGCCAAGGAAGAGCGATGGAGATGGTGGAGATTTTCAGTGGCTTGTTATCTTGTTTTTATTGATTTTTTGTTTTTGTTATTTTTAGGGTTAATAGTATTTTGTACTCTTTTACTATGGTAAATTAACAAACGTACCCCTCTACTAAATTTTTACACAAATATACCCTTCTAATATTAAAACATAACAAGTTTACCCTTCCATCTAATTTTCTGTTAAGTGGCCGTTAAATGAGATGAAAAATGACCCAATTGCCCTTCATTTACTCCTAATTTTGGTTAATTATTTTATTATGTAGCAAATCAATTAATTAAATAAAATGAAACCCTAAACTAATTAAGAAGCACTCATCAGAGACCATCCGACTCCCCTGAAAACTCCACTGGTGATCAGAAGCTTGACTGGGCTCGGCGGGTGGAGTATAGAGAACCGGCGAGACAAGACGACCATTTTCCCGGATTCCCCGCCACTTTCCAACGCCATCTGAAACTCCCTTCGATCACCCAGCAGGGACAAGCTTCCCCGACTATTCCCCGACGTTTTGACGCCAGCTTCGCGGATTTTCACGAGTCGTTCCGACGCCAGCGCTTCCCCGTCGATCCATCTAAACGCCTGCCAAACCTCTACTCGGCTTCTCTCGTCGAGGCCAGCTTCCCCGTCGATGGCAAGCTGCCGGCATTGGAAGCCGGATATTTGTGGTTCACGGACTCGGGGAGTACAGAGGAAGACAAAACTTCCTTCGGGTGTGTTGTGTGCAAGGGAAAGGG